CCTTGGCCATTTTTTGGCTTATTTGATCATTTTTAGATGGTTTGACTAGCTAAGTTGTCAAATATTATGTTTGGTAAATGGCTGTTGAGTTTAGCTGGTGGCACTCCAAAAAGTCAACATCCTTTTTTGAAATAAAAAGTCAACATCCTAAACGCATGCAATAACAGAGTTTCTCTCTGGCTGCTTGATACATCACTATTAAATACCTATTAAACCCTTTTCTCTTTTTTCTTTTTATTCCTTTCCTTTAAGATTTCTGCGGGCACACCTCGCTCCTTTATTAAACATCTACGGAGTATTGAACTATGTTGCACGGATACGGATACGCCGATGCGCGGATACACGAATACGGGTACGGCGATACGGCAATTTCAAAAATTATAGGATACGGGTACGGGGATATATTTATAAATAATAAAAATATAGGGTATAATTTGCAAATATATATATATATATATATATATATATATATATATATATATATATATATATATAATTCATGGGTTCATAAATAAAATAATAATAGTACAAAAAATTAACTATTATAATAAAATGGAAAAATTGACAAGAATAATCCCACCTTTTAGTGATCTTCTCATAATAATCCTACATTTACATAATTCCAAAATAATCTGACATTTGCACCTCATCTTTTTTCATTGGACCCTGACCAAGTTTTTTAATCTTTCTTTGAAAATCATATAAATAATCTCACCTTTCACTTTTTTATTATATCTTTATGAATGTGAGATTATTTATATAAGATTTTCAAAGAAGGGTAAAAAACTTGACCAAGGTCCAATGAAAGAAGATGAGGTGCAAAGGTGGAATTATTTTGGAATTATGTAAAGGTGGGATTATTATGAGAAGACAAGTGAAAGGTGAGATTATTTTTTTCAATTTTTCCTAATAAAATTTCAAAGATTAGTCTAAAAAAACTAAAAAACAAAAGTACTAATATTTTGATTTAAATTCAAATAACATTTTTTATATTCTCTATTTACATTTACATCTATGTTTTGTTTCAATTAAAGCTCATCAAGCAATGAAATGAGAAATTATAGTATTCCATTATTTTTCATACTTCCGAAACCATCTTTATCAATGTTCCACATGTTGTGGTCACTTGGGCGGCTACTAAATTTTCGTCATGTCGTGTATCAAATGAAGGGTTATAGGGTCAGATACGCGTATCGGTTCACGGATACGGGTATCGGAAGTATCGGTATTTTTAAAATTAAGCCCGATACTTTTATTAAATTACGGATACGGACCCAATACGTACAGGACGTGTATCGGTGGGTATCGGATATGGATACGTATCGGATACGTGGATACGGCATCGAGGTGAAGTATCGGTGCAACATAGGTATTGAATACGGAGTAAGTAATGACTACCCAATTAAATAAGTATTCTGTATTCCTAATAACAAAATGCTACAAAGTGCTGGTATCATATACTCCCTCCGTCCTTGAAAATACTTCCAACTTTCTTCTTTCATCCATCCCAAAAAGAACTTTACTTTTCCTTTTTGGCAAATAATTTATGGTTCACAACATTTCTCTCTCCTCTGCACAACTCTCCACCACACAATTCTCACTTTCTTAATCCGTGTGCCACTTTATTATGGAAGTAAATTCAGGGACGGAGGTAGTATCATATACTTCCTCCGTTCTTTTTTAGTTGCAACGATCAACATTTCACACTTGCCAACACACATCTTTGACCGTATTTATATCTTAATCCCTATTAGTAAAAAATATTTAAAAATTAGATTTTGAAAATTTGTAATGAGATGAATTGAACAATATAATTTTTAAAAAATAATTTTCATAAAATAATAATATAAATTGTAGTCAAAGTAGAACATGTAAATAATGTAAAATTCAACATGTTGCGATTAAAAAGAGACGGATGATAGTATAAACTACTACGTAATACACGGCCCCTCAATTACCAATATCATTGAACATCAAAATGATTTAATTCGTTTTCAAGCTAAACTTAGCTGATAATTGTAATCAAAATAATTTTTATAGTTATCACTAGGTGACAACTCCGGTACCTTTCTAAAAACAAGGGTACCGTACCTAGCATTCATTTGATTGGATCACATCACTTTATCAATTTTAATTTAGATTTAAAAAATTTAACTACTACCTTTTCATTGGTCCATGTGGACAAAGGTATGGTACCTTATGGGTACCATAGAAACTACCTTATCACTATTTCACTAACAAAAATAGCACGTATACATACAATAATGTCCTTACACGTCTTTTTACTTCATACCACCTATTTCCATTCAGCTAATTTACCAAACTATTTATGAATAGCTAACATAACCAGCCATTCAAAGTAGCTAAGGCAACCAGCTATTATCAAACCGTTAACCTAACCAGCTAACAGCCAATTGCCAAACAAGGCCTTAATCGGTAAATTACCGCTCAGAAAAGTCATTTGCACTATATCACCGACTTGGAGAATTTGGTTGCAGTTTTTTTTTTTAAAATTTTATGGGTAATTTGCACTATATCACCGAGTTGGAAGTTCTGATTGAACGTTTTCATAATTTAGAGGATGATTTGCACCACCTGTCTTAGTTCAAGGATTAATTTACCGCAAATTATACCGTGGTATCGGCATACCATGAGCATGGTATGCGCGTACCATATACGGCACCGTTTTATGATAAATAAATAAAAAACAGAGAGCGGAGCTTCCTAATTTCCAAGCGAAGGTGAGCTGCTTTCGACCTTTCGTTCCCAATCGCTAGCTTCAGCAGTTCCCAGCGAAGGTGAGGATCAACGTTGTCCCAATGTCCCATTAAATCCCACTTCTCAATCTAAATTGCAGGCCCTCAAATTTTGTTGATACATAGTGGGATTGTGAGAAACTTCACATCTAATTAATAAAAAATGATAATTTCTTTATCTTCCTTACTTAAATGCCTTTTGTTTGGGATTCACACTCTGTTCAGACATTGTTCTTCACATATACATAGTACTATTGGATTCTATGTGTAATCTTATATCCACAATTACATTTGATAATATATGGAATTACATCTTTTTATATGCAAGTTACATCTTCATATGCAAGAGTTACATCTTTTTAGAAGCGAGTTACATCTTCTGAAGCGCGAGTGACATTTGTAATAACATGATTTACATAAAAAAAACAACCCCTGGTATTCAAACAAAAAAATGTTTTTTTTTTCTAAATCCTTTATCTCATGATATTAAAAACCAAACATATTCACAGTTTACATAAACTAATTGTGCAATTAAACTCTCTTTTCCATAGTTTACATTGAAATCTTTCTTATACTATGTATTTGATAAGTTACATTTCGAATGAACTTGAGTTACATTGATCAATAACGTGAGTTACATATCTTTACACGCGAATTACATCATTCATACTACTGGGACAAAAAAAACATTACTGTACACGCGTGTACTGTTCACGCGTTACTGTTCACGCGAAAATTTAAAAAAAATTGTGCAAAACTATGTCGTTTTGGGTGTGGGAGCACGGTGCTCACCGTGGGGTGATACCACGGTATACGAACTCTTAATTTACTACTTTTCCCTAATTTCTAGCAGTTCGTATACCATACGATCGTCCCACCATGAGCACTGTACACCCACTCCCAAAACGATGTAGTTTTGGACATTTAAAAAAAACGTGTGAACCGTACACGCGTGAAAAGTACATATGTGTACAGTGACTTTTTTTGTTTCAGTAACATGGATGGTGTAACTCGCGTGTAAAGATATGTAACTCGCATTATTGATCAATGTAACTCAAGCACATCCAAAATGTAACTTGTCAAATATTGATTTCAATGTTTCAATGTAAACAATTAAAAAAGAGAGTCTAATTGCATGATTGTTTTAGGTTAAACGTGAATATGTTTTGTTTTTCATATCATGTCTATAAAAATAATTTTTTAGAAAAGATCGTTTTTTTGTTTCAATAGCAGGGGTCGATTTTTTAATGTAACTCGTGTTATTACAAATGTAACTCGAGTTGATGCCAAATGTAACGTGGGTGTATACAGAATGTAACTTGTTGGAAAATTGAACAATAATTTTTTTTGTGTTTGAGATATTATAAACATTGATTTCAATGTAAATAATGAAAAATTGATCCTAATAGCATAATTACTTTTTATAAATAGTGAATATGTTTTATTTTTAATATTAGGGCAATAAAAATGATATAGCTGGAGTTTATTCAGTGGTGTAACTCGCATACATTAAGATGTAACTCACATATATTTAGATGTAACTCGCGTACATTGAGATTTAACTTGCGCAGAAGAAAATGTAACTTTATATAATATCAAATGTAAACAATGAAAATAAGAAGTTTAATTGTTCAACTAATTTAAATTAAATATGTTTTAAAGAAAAATCATTTTTCCATATGGTATGTTTATTTTATTTGACCAATAAATGTGTTTATGTTGTTTTTTATGGATAAAATTTTGTTCTCAATGTAAAGACAAATCTGCATGTGGACATGTATCATGTTATGGCAGATCCCATACGGACTACATGACAATCGGGTGGGGAGGAAGTAGTATTTGGTTCTTTGCGTGGGGGAATTGAAAAGGAGAAAAAAAACGAAGCAGAAACACCCAGCAGCAGTGACGGAGAAGGAAGAAGACTCGCAGCTGGCCAAAGGATTGGAGAGGAGGATTTCAGATTGATTTTAATTAGCAAAACGGTGCCGTACCAGACCCGGCATACGGTATAATTTGCCAATTTTTAGAGTTACACAAGTGATAACAAAAAACAGAAATAAAGTAAGTTACTAGGAATTTTCAAATCTCCCAATATTTGAAGTAATAATACGAAGCAGTCAATTGGAAATATGGAAGCTGTCATCCACATCTAATTGCACTGTAACGTAGCTCTTGATGTCAGCATACTTTTCCCGACCTTATTATATATCGATCTCCGACCAAGACGTACGTTTACACCATTTATTATAAGCTTTTCAAACTATCACTAACCTCGATCAATCCAAAATATAATGGGGATTCCAAAATGGTTTGTCACATTTTGTTTCGTGATTTTCGCCGCTGCAGTTGGTCCTACAGCAACTGGTCTTGTATGGTTTGCACGAGTAAAGGTAAATAAATCGTACTTATTTCTTAAATGGCACGGGTCAGATGCATTATTATCGGATTAGCTCTAAAATTTGAGGAACCCGTTCCAATTGCCAGGCCGCGGTTCCCTTTTAAGATTCTTTGAAAAAAGCAAATTGGGGAGACATTCATTGGAGATTGCATAACATTTAAATTTTGGCTAAAGGATCAAATAGGCCCTTTAACTAACTTAAAGTGTTCAATTGGCTCTTTATATAGGAGGTTCTGGCCGGTCGTCGTCAATTGGGGCGTTTCCCGGTGGAATTTTTGATGAAATTTTTTGAGCATCTTCTTCATTAAGTCTAGTTTACCCATACCAAATTGAAACTAAAAATTCAACCGGGAAGACAGACAAATGAATTTTTAAAGATAACTGTGCAGTTAAACAACGCAGTACATTTCGGAAAATCGTTTGACTGCCTTCCCGGTTGAATTTTTAGCTGAAATTTGATATGAGTAAACTAGACTTAATGAAGAAGATGCTCTAAAAATTTCATCAAAAAATTCCACCAGGAACCGTCCCAATTGACGACGGCAGGGCAAAACCTCCTATATAAGGGGCTAATTGAAGATTTTAAGTTAGTTCAAGGGCCTATTTGACCCTTTAGCCTTTAATTTTTCGTGTTAATTTAATGTTGTCCCATATACGGAGTATCTTATTTAGGATGTTTTTACTTGGACTGTAATTTGCTGGTCTGGTCTGGTCTGATCTGGTCTAGTCTGGTCTGAACTAGTCTGGTCTGGTTTCTTTGTATTTTTATAACTACCCAAGTCTGGTCTGGTCTGGTCTGATCTGGTCTGGTCTGGTCTAATCTGGTCTGATCTGGTCTGAGACAAATTACAATACAAGTAAAAACATCCTTAGTACAACAAAGTAAGAAGTTAATACGTGACCATTAAGTTGTTCCAAAATAATTTTGTTCTTTAGCAAAATTGTTTAGAGATCCCCGAGATTTATCCAAATAAGACCAAAACATACTAAAAGGGTCGCATTGTAAAATGATACCGTCATTTAGATTATAATTAAATAAGACTATTCGAGTGTATATCGAGGAATAGTTTTGATGTGTATATAATATAATGGGGTCATTGATGATAACTTTGATATGATAGATGTATTATTTTTAATATTTGATGATTAAATCGTCATTTAAGAGTGTTAATTTTTTCATAAAATAGAAATTAGAATCTTTAATGAGACATTAAAAAAAAATGAAAATGGGATTAAGGGAGAGAGTACAATTTTTTTCGTTATTCGTTAGTGGTCCAATGCAAAATGAGGAGTATTTTGTGTTATGTTCTTAAAACTGATCATAAATTTCGTTAACAAATGTTGGATGAATTGCCGAGATTTATTCGTTAACAAATTTCGTTATTTGTTTAGGTATATGTCATTATCCTTGATGTGTAAGTAAATTACCGATTTTTATCCAACATATGTCATAGGTTAGTTCCACTAACAAATACTGTTATGTTATGTAGATGATATTTAAATAAGATTATTTGAGTATATATTGAGAAATAGTTTCGACGCGTATATAATATAATGGAGTCATTGATGATAATTGTGATATGATAGATGTATTATATTGTTTTTAATATTTGATGATTAATCGTCATTTAAGAGTGTTAATTATTTCCTAAAATAGAAATAATTAAGAATCTTTAATGAGACACTCAAAAAATTAAAATTAGTAGAAAACGCCATATTTCAAAATGTTAACCCAAAAGCACTATATTTCAAAATGTCATATTGCAGCGTTTTCATTTCAACAGTTCCGTCCAAAAACATTAGGACCAAACGGCTATTTACCAAACAATATTTTCACTTATTGAAAACACTAATTAAAATGGGCAAACCGCCATGTTTTGGATGAAACGCCATTTTCTTAACACCCCCTTAACCTACATCCTTAACCTAAACACTACGCACTAAAGGGCATTTTTGTCCACAAGCTACAATTTATAATTTACTCATGTTTAGAGAATATTAACTTGAGTAAATTAATCGATTTCCATCAATGCTATTACTAATTAATAACGTAAATTAATTACTACTAGGTATTATATTATATTATACGGAGTACTAGGTATGATTTTTGGGATGACATAGGTGATTCAAAACAAAGGAGATGCGGCTAGGCTGTTTTGCAAGGCAGCAATGGCCGTCCTTGTATTATCTGTTATGTGTACCTCGATCCATGGATTGTTCGCTTGGGCTCAAAAGCTACAAGGTACGAATGTTTCGAAACGCATCCGGACGTTGGTGAAATGGACATTGTTGTTAACAGGGTAACGCGTCCTTTGCTTTTTGGATCAATTATACGTAGTACTATCCCGTCTTAAAAAACTTTGTCATTTCATATAATTTGAATCATGATTTTGATTAGTATAATGTTACGAAAGTTATAGATTTTATACTTTTATGAATGTGATTTTAATAAAGAACATTTTCATATAATTTTCAATACTACGTATTGAAAATAGGGTAACGTTTCATTTGCTTTTTGGATATATTATACTACCCAATTTGTAACAAAATCAACATTTTTTTACCAACCAAAGCTAAAGTTAAATCCTCTGTATGGATAAATAATTTAATTTTAATAATTAAAATTCACATATTCAGAAACTACATTAAAATCTTTATAAAGTTGCAAAATCGAAAATTAAAACTTAATTAAGAATTGATATCCTAATTAAGTGATTAAAATGAAACTGTTTGATCCAAAAATCAAATTTGGACAAAGGGAGCACGTAACATGAGATTAGATCGAGTATACGTACACTGGCTGATCATTACAAAAAAACATCGAAATAGGCACGGACTTGGCACGGATTGGACGAGTTTGGCACGGACTGTAACTTATTTTTGGCACAACGCCGTGCCAAATAGCTGGTGACAAAACGACTTTGGCACAGAATTTGGTACGGATTTAACGCATTCGTGCCAAATCCCGTGTGACCAGGGGCGGAGCCAGGACACTGGACCAGACTGGGCCGGTACAAAGAATATTTTTGAAAAAGAATTTACATGCAATTTTTTACACTAAAAATTAAGACGTTTTTTAAATTTGGGCTGGGCCAGGGCCAGGTCTGGCCCATCCCTAGCTACACCCCTGCCCGTGTCAAATACCCTACGAATTTTGACATATCCGTGCCAAATCCGTGCCGAAATCGTTGTTTTTTTTTGTAGTGGATGTAACATATTACATATGTTTATTATTAATATACGAAGTATTAATTAAGATTATATTACTAGTTAATAATAGTATATCTTCTAGTAATCTAAAAAATTACACAAGTATTAATCACATTCAAAGAAGCTGTAAAAACACAATCAGCACTAGCCGAGTTCGTTTTCCATGTGTAGTCAACTGCGAAGCGGACAGCCGGACACCCAGGGTTTGAAGCTCTACTGAACCGGTTCGAGGGCCAGTTGACCGGGTTCTGGATCGAAACGCGATCCGATTCATAAAACATAGGCTTATGTTTTATCCAATTTTTAACAACCAAAACTGTTTCTAGACGACTTTTTCAACAATTTCATCGTCAAGTCAATTGCGTATTTATGAATTCATGTGACACTACCCATACGATGCTGAATAATGAGTAAAATAAGTTGAAATACACCATTTTTTTATGACGGAATTATTACATACTCCGTAGTTGAAATACACCTAATAATTAATCATCCATCTATACTTCTCATTTCAGGATGGGATTTACTGTGGGTTTCATGGCTCTACTGTATGTATTATTATTTAGGGGAATGCCTGATCAAATAAAGAAGATAAGCCTAATCTGTGGAACTTGTGGTTGCGGGGTTGAAGCGATTTCTTCCGTTCTATACTTTTTGTCTATGTTGTGGAAATCAGCAGAACTCGCTCCAACCCCGACGGTGATCACGCTTTTTAATTTTAATCCATGAACCTTCTTTCTATGCGGGAACAATGACAACATCCTGTCCAATCTTCCATTATTCAAGACAATTGTTAAATTGTGCAGTGCATCTATCCTCGATACCCATCTTTCCGCGGCTTCTCATCCTTATCAGTCATTTTTTTTGTTAAACATGTAATTTTTTATTTCACACGTATGTCTCATTATCATACGGAGTATAATCAAAACTTATCTTTCACTTGTGCATTGCACGGGATATCAAATTAAAAAATTACTTGTAAGGTCATTTAATGTGTTCAAATGGTGTGGAACAACGTATTCAAGGACTCTTATCACTAATATGAGGTGATAAACAAATAGTACGTTCATGCTATTACTTAAATACAAATTTTTTACTGTTGGGAATGTACCTAAGAACCTTCTCAAATTTAAGTAGAAAACTTATCTTGTAGATACAACGGTACCTTGGTAAACCATTGTTCATCATCTACGAGATTTTTTTATCACAATATCCTTATTGAAGAATTTCCAAAGACAACATTACTACAAATATCAACATGAAAAATGCTATATTTCACACATGAAAAATTATTGTTTCAAATCACAACCATAGACAAAACAAATATAATTTTGACAATTTTCAAGAAATACAAAAAATTATTATTCAAAGTTCACGGTAACTGTGAATACAAATATCACTTACGTACATAGGATAAACATGGTACATGGTTAGGACATAGTTTTAATTATCCAGGTAATCAACCGTGTTATCTTTGTTTCCTTTAAACCGTAACTAGTATTTCACATTTTCACCCGTGCGATGCACGGATATATCTTTTATTCATTTATTTATATACAAAAAGTAATTGATCAAAATATATAAAGAAAAATAATTTTAACGAATAAAAAATGAGTTTTATCAGAACATCATAGAGATAAAAGTACTTTAAAAAATTACGAAAATGTACTTGAAGAAATTAAATGAGAAATGAGTCTTGTGTAAATACTACTCACTTTGTATTTTAAAGTTTGGATAATTTTATTTTTAGGATATATTTAAAAGTTTGTTACACTTCTCCCTTTTAGTAAGTTTTTCTTTTAAAAATATTCAATCGTTCTTATTTATTGTTTTTATTTTCTCTTTCATACTTTTCAGTTTTTACTACACTACAAAAAACAGCGTTATAGTCACGGATTTTAGTCACGGATTTAGTCCGTGACTAGTTTAGTCACGGTCTAGTCACGGACTAGTCACGGAAATTTAAAAAAAAAATAGTCACGGTCCGGGCCGTGACTTAAGTCCTCCGATAGGCCCGTTTCCGTTTCCGGCGAAGTTTATTTGATTCCGACGACTTAGTCACGGCCACATCCGTGACTATACCCGTGACTATGATTAAAATTTAATTTTTCAACTTCCAGAAATTAATTCGCAACGGGGTTATGTACGGATAACTTTTAGTCACGGCCATGTCCGTGACTATGTCCGTGACTACTTTGATTAACACGTCATTTACACGTCATTAACACGTGTTGGACGCGTATTGGACACGGTTTTGCTTAGTGACGGACAAATCCGTGACTAAGTCCGTGACTAAATTTTTTATATATGCAGGAGCAGCTCATTGAACAGAACCACACCAATTCATTCCCAGTATATACAGTATCCATTTGAAAGATCGAAGGATGTAGTCTATCTTCTATCATTTTCCCTGTTTATGCAGATAAGGTATGTTATTTGAATTATAATTTTTATTTAGAATTAATTGGTTCAATTTAAATTATTAAAACTATTAAATTAGTGAGGTTGTTAATTAATTAACAACATGTTTTAACTATAAGCGTAGTAATGTCATAAATTAGAATTAGTTAAACTTTTAGGTTTATAAAATAATTTATTTAAAATTAGTTAGCTAAATGTAGTTTAAAACGTAATGATGTTTATGTTAAGTGAAATTAGTTCAAATAACGTACGTTAGTAATGTGTTAATTAAGTGAATTGTGAATTGTTATTGTGAATTGTGTATTGCTTATTAATTCAAATGACTTTATATACATGTTCAAATTATTGGGTTGAATTTGGTCATATTATTTAATTTAGTGAATTTTTAATTGTGTATTACTAATAAGATTAAATGTCATTAACGTAATAATTTAGTGTAGGTTTAAACGTAGGTTTACAAAAATAATTTAATTCAAATTCATTTGCTAAACGTAGGTTAAGTTTGAACGTAGCTATTGATGTGTTAATTAAGTTAAATTAGTTAGCTAAACGTAGGTTTATACGTAGTGATGCATTAAAAGGGGACGGAATGAACTAGTTAAATTTAGTTAAATTTAACTAAATGAATTAGGTAATTTTAATTAAACATATGTTTAATTTAGTGAAATTATGTGCATTATTGTGCATTAGGGGACGTATATTTTGTGCATTATTGTTGTGAATTCTGTGCATTTCATTTAATTTAGTGAAAATTAGTTGATTATATTTAGTGAAATAAATTACTTAAAATTGTGTTCATTGCATTTTATATAATTTTTTATTATAATATTCAGGCATAATGTATAAACAAAATAGAAGTTGGATGTATGATAAAGATGCGGTATTGTACGGAATGCAATCAAATTTTCTCGGGGGAATCGGAGAATTTATTGAATTTGCACTTGAACATCCGGCTTATATGAGTGGTGATAAAATAAAATGTCCATGTTCAAAGTGTAAAAATCTCAAATTTAAAGACCCACACGAAGTTGGGTATGATTTGTACGCGGTCGGTTTTGTTCCCAATTATTATAATTGGACTTCTCACGGCGAACCTTTGGATCCATCTGTTATACCACAAACGGTAGGTTCGTCTCGTTACGTCCCTCCAGAGATGAGTGCGTGGGGAGACCGTGCTGAAATGAGGTGGGACCAACAAATGGTATATGACGCATACGGTGTACCGTCTCAGTTCAACCCCCCACAACCACCTAACGACCACCCTGAAGCCTCAACCTCGTATCAACCAGATGCGGATGAAAATCCGGCATTTTATCAACCTTATGTGGATGAAGGTTTGGCTGAGAGATTTCAGGATGTTCTAAAAGCTGCCGACCAACCTCTGTATGCTGATTGTGAGGGATACTCTCAGCTATCCGCTGTTACTGAGTTCATGAACATAAAAGCCGAATACAGTCTCCCTGAAACTTGCATGAATAGAGTCTTGCAGTCAGTAGGAGGGATGCTACCGCGAGATCATACCCTTTCCGATTCATATTACCACATGAAGCAGTTAATGTCTAAGTTGGGGCTACCTTGTGTTGAAATTGATGCGTGCCCGGAAGGATGTATGTTGTTCTGGAAGGAAATGTGCGGCTGGGGACACTTTGACCGCTGTCATCCTCAGTTTGCTATGGAGCCACGAAATGTGCGGCTGGGCTTGTGCTCAGATGGATTTGCTCCTTTTGGCAGGTTTGGCAAGAACTATTCATGTTGGCCAGTCATGTCGTTAACTCCTTACAATCTCCCTCCCGACATGTGCATGAAAAGTCATTTCATCTTTTTGTCTTTAATTTGTCCGGGTTCCAAGGATCCTGGGCGAAAGATAGACATTTATCTTCAACCCCTTATTGAGGAGATGAAAGAACTGTGGGCCGTTGGGACACCAACTTATGATGTTTCATCAGATAAAATGTTTATCATGAAAGCTGCCATCATTTGGACCATTAGCGACTTCCCTGCCTATGGCATGCTTTCGGGATGGAGCACACACGGTCTGATGGGATGTCCGATATGCATGGAGAAATCAGGTGCCAACTGGCTCAGTTACAGCAAAAAAGGAAGTTACTTTGACTGTCACCGCAAGTTTCTCCCAGAAAGGCACCGATATCGAAAGGACAAGAAGTCTTTCATTAGAGGCAGAGCGGTACGAGAGAGCCCACCCCCGAGATTGACCGGTGAAGAAATTTATAACCGGGTTCGACGTTTTCCTACGGCTATGGAAGAGCCAAACCAAGAGCCATATGGGTATTGTGATACCCATAAGTGGACAAAGAGGAGCATATTCTGGGAGTTGCCTTATTGGAAAGACCTTCTCATCCGTCACAATTTAGATGTCATGCACACTGAGAAGAACGTATTTGACAATATATTTAACACGGTGATGGATTTGAAAGGCAAAACTAAAGACGGTCTTGCAGCTAGGAAAGATATGACTATTTGGTATGATAGACCCGAACTTTCTGTTGATCTAGAATATCAGGGCAAGGAAGTTCCAAAAGCAGTTTACCAGGTCACAGAACCACAAAAGGCAGCAATATTAAAATGGCTTGCGTCTCAGAAGTTTCCAGATGGCTACTGCTCCAACTTGTCTAGATGCGTAGACATGAACAAACTTACCACGACGACGAGCATGAAAACTCACGATGCTCATGTAATAATGCAAAGACTTCTACCAATTGCACTAAAAGAGATGCTCCCTGAACACGTATGGTCCTGCATTACTGAAATCAGTTTGTTGTTTCAATCGATATGTTCCAGCATTTTGGATGCGGCATCCCTCCGGAGACTACAAGAGTCTGTTCCCATTCTGGTGTGTAATCTGGAAAAAATAATGCCACCATCGTTTTTCGATGCAATGGAACATCTCATAATACATCTTCCGTATGAGGCTTTGACTGCTGGGCCCGTCTTCTATCGGTGGATGTACAGATTTGAAAGGTTAGTCACAATTTCATTTAAAAAAAGAATATTTATTTCACAATAACTGTTAACATGTGTATTATTGCATTATTGCAGATTTCTAGGAGAGCTGAAAAAGAAAGTGACCAACAAGGCACACATTGAGGCTTCAATTTGTCAAGCGTATCTTCAACAAGAAATCTCCACGTTCTCGTCTTTTTACTTCGAGCGTGACGTCATCACCAGAAGGAAGAGACCTGCCCGGAACGATGACATTGGCGAGGATTTATATGAAAATGTAGTTTCCATCTTCAATTACCCAGGCATAGGTAAAGGTGCTACGACACAACGATACATCCTGGGTGGGGAATTGCAAATTGCGCATACTTATATCCTCATGAATTGTCCAGAAATCTCACCGTTTTATCAGTAAGTTAAATTTGTAGTTATAATTGTAATACTTATAAATTAAATTTGTAGTTAATTTATAGTTTTTTTTATTTTTTATTTTTGACTTCACAGTGAATTCCGAGCTTCTTTATCAGCCTTTCCTGAGAATGAAAATTGATGCGTTGGTGGACTCTGATTTTGTAAATTGGTACAAGTATCAGGTATATATATACACACATTAATTATATATATTACCTAATGTTTACCTAATGTTATTATTATGTTTATATTTACAGATCAACAATCGTGGGATTGTCGACCCTTTGTTAGTATCATTAGCGTGGGGCCCAGGTACCAGTGCCAAAGTGTGGCGGCAATATGTGATAAACGGTTACACATATCACACAGCCGATTACGGACAGGGCCGACCAACAACGAACAACGGGTTATGTGTCCCGACCATCGGTTATGATAACTCGGAAACCAATTTTTTTGGTGTCCTGCAGGAGATTCTGGAACTTGAGATGCCTTCTAGTGCGCAAAAAATGACATGTGTTCTGTTCCGCTGCACATGGGTCGATCCCACACGTGGCGTGCGAAAAAATCCGAAGTATAATATGATTGACGTCAACCTCTCTCGTGTGTACCCGAAAAATGAGCCTTTCATACTCGCCCAACAAGCAGCGCAGATTTATTATGCAGAATATCCTACAACAAGGCGAACCCAGAATCCTTGGGTGTGTGCATGTCCTGTCCGTCCGAACAAAATTAAATCACAAACTCAACACAAGGACGTTGATCTAGATGCTTTTCAGCAACAATTTTTCCAACCTCTGCCTATTGTTGAGACGGTCAACTATAACGTCCAATTAAGTGATCCAAATGGCGGACGTGTTGAAGTCATGCCAGAAACGCACCTTCCGGACCTAACCATTCCATCTGAGCGCGAAATTGAGGAAATGTATGTAGCACAACAAAATGCTCAATATCAGGAAGAAGGTGAATGGATAGACGGTTCAGATACAAAAGAAGATACTATATATGTAGAAAATAACGATTCTGACAGCGAGTAATTGTGCTGTTGTAATTTCAATTTTGTGATATAATTTCTCCAAGCATATTTGATAATTTCTTTCATCATTATTGTTTGTAAAATAATTACTTCTTAATCTGTTCTATACCACATAAATTCAAAGCAGTTTATTTAATACTCCACAGTCCACACTACAATTACGATGGTATTAATAGTTATTCATATAATTACAATAATAATAATAATAATAATAATGATAATGTTAATAATTATATTAACATTATTTATAATATTATAATAGTAATATAAACACAATGAATATTATTATAACGATATAATAATAATAATTTGAATAATAATAATAATTATTATTAATAATAATAATAAATCATGTCTGAATTTTTTTGATCTGATCTGATTTGAATAAAATAAGAATAAACAATAAGTAATAGCTAACACAAAGACGAACAGAACAACACCTTATTCATTTTTTAGCATAAAATGCTTGGGTCGCAGGAAAATGAAATTATACATTTAATAGTCACGGTTGTAGTCACGGTCAGGACCGTGACTACACCCTTCGTAAATGCCGAAGTCAGGCCTGAGGGTCAGAGGGGCGCTGACCGGAATAGTCACGGTCACGGCCGTGATTATGACCGTGACTACTTTCAAATTTTAAAAACAGTCACGGTTATAGTCACGGCAATGACCGTGACTATTCCGGTTAAAAGCGGCTCTGACCGCCTCGCTGACATCGTCAATCACGAAGGGTTTAGTCATGGTCCTGACCGTGACTATGACCGTGACTAAACAATTATATAAAACAAACACTTAGCGTTTTTTTAAAAAATCCTACGCACCCCAGATATCTCAAACCCTAAACTACCTCTCCTTCTCTCTTCCTTCTCTTCCAGTTTGGTTAGTGCCGCCGCCGTCGCCTCCTAGCATCCGCCGTTGCCGTCGTCCACAACCAGTCGTCCGCCGTCGTCCACCGCCTTCCGTCGCCGCCCCTTCTTTTCTCAGTCAAGGTTATGTGTTCTTTTCATCTTATTTGTTAATATTTGATATAAAATCCAAAAATGCATGATAAGATACATGATTTTTAGTTTCATATCATTTTGTAATGTTCAAAAGTTGTATGTATGATTTATTATATGCATGATTTGTAGTTTTGCATGATAATATCGGTTTATATGTTTGGTATGCATGATAATTATGTTTAAATGATTTAGATTATTTTATGTTTAATATATGTTCATCTGCATGATTAAAGTACTTATAAACTGTTTTTCAAAATGGTAAATTTAAAAAATTAATTTCCGAATGTAATTTATGAAAATATTTGAACAAACTTATTAAATAAACTGTCTTTATTTTCTTGTTCATATATATTATATTCTTTTTTTATTTAAACCTTGCTCAATATATTTTCGAACTAACGCATGCTTATACAATTAGTATGATGTTTAATATATATGTTTAGTGTTTGATTTGCATGCCTCTCTATACATATGCATTACTTTAAATTTAATTTCTGAAAATATTTAATTTAGGTTAATATTTAAAAAAAACTGTTTAAATAAATAGCCCCTCGTGTTAAACTTCCAAAAATAGTTTAACATGTTTAATTATAATTTCCGTAATATCCATTAACAAAATATTAAACATTTAAATTTAATCCCGAAAAAAATATATGTAAACTATTTGAAAAACTGTTGTAATGATTTATAAAAACTGTTTTAATGATTTATCTAAAAAAACTGTTTTATAAAAACTGGACGAAACACTTTTTTTATAATAGTATAAGCATAAAAAGTTATTTTTATTTTTTATATTATAAACTGTTGAATTATAAACTGTTTTTAGATAAACTGTTTTTCCAAAAACTGTTTTTATACAAACTGTTTTTATATAAACTCTTTTTATAATTTATCTAAAAAAACTGTTTTTATAAAAACTGTTTTTATAAAAACTGTTAATTAAAAACTGTTTTATTAAACAGATTTTTGTAAAAAATAGTTTTTATAAAAACTGTTTTAATAAAAAGTGTTTTTATAAAAAGTGTTTTTATAAAAACTGTTTTTATACAAACTGTTTTTATATAAACTGTTTTTATAATTTATCTAAAAAAACTGTTTTTTAACCCCTTCATCAATCAAAAATCCCTAATTAAAACTACTCACAATTCATAATTGAAGAATCAACTAGATTGGGATAAAAAGAATTAATTGTTATTAATTAAAAAGTAGAAACATACAAATAATCTCAGGGTCTTGAATGACAAAGCGGAAAAACAATGGAAAATTAGTCTCCAGGCCTCTCTCTCTAAAATCTGCACCCTCCAACGGGGAAATAGAGGCCTTATTTATAACATTCCATTCGGTTTTGAGGTGTTTTTTATTATAGTAATGTGTAAATGACCATTGCAATTTTAAATGTTTGGAACTTGGTCTACCAAAACCGATACCATAGTAATGTTGAGGCTATACTAACATGCACAAAGTGAAAAACAAGCTATCTTTGAGTAGGGGTGGACCCAATCCACATCCTCGGACGAGTTGGGACCTGATTCGGACACCGCCGTTTGGGACGGTTTTTTGTGGAATTTTTTGAGAATGTTCCTCATCAAGTCTAGTTTATCCTCAAAAAATTTCAACTCAAAATTCGATCGGGAAGGCCTTCAAATAATTTTTGAAGTTGACTGTGTTTTTTGTATATAATTTTGCGCAGTTAAATTCAAAAAATTATTTGAATGCCTTACCGATCGCCCTAAACGGCGGTGTTCGGACGGCGGCTCCCGTTCTCCCTGCTGGACCTGAGCAATTCTCGGAGTTTCAAAACTCTGAATTTCCTCCAAAAGTTGTACATTGTGCCCGGAAAGTCTCTAAAGTGCAAAAGTTGTAGGCGTAGGAAATGATTTCTACGGAGTATTGTATAAAATTACAACTTTAATGCTTGACGTAATAATTAATTAGATTATATATGAGTCCAAATTTGCAATTTCAAGCTGTAAATCCTGTAATTAAGCGTGCAATGTAGTCGTTTAATGTATGTATAAGTAAATACTAAATACGTCAAAATTAAGCCTGTAACGTTGTCGTTTAATGGATGTAAGCAATTACGTCAATAGTACGTACATATGTATATATAGTGTGTTGTGTACGAGTCCAGCTCCTCTCCATTTCCTTCTCTCCATTTCCCCTCCATTTCTTTTTTACTTCCTATCTATCTCTACCTTTTTTTCTATCCTACTCAGCATCCTACCCCACTCTTATTTTTCTCCTCTCTATATCTCTCCAAATGGACATCTCCAGTGACTGGAGAGGATCCAAATTCACGGAGGATCCAGGATTCTGAGATGCTCTGGACTGAATAGGAATTATACTAGGCTTAAATATTATAGGAGTGGGCTAAATGTGAAAAATGGAAAAAATTTACACTAAAAAAATTTAAAAAATTCTCAGTTGCCCCGGACTTCAGCCTACCATAGCCCGTACATAGATCCTCCCCTGTGTACATATCAAATAAAAACTATTGATATTTATTCGTAGCATGAAAAGCACAATCATTCACTTTTTCGCTAATGCTGCGCTTTTTAACATTAAGAGAAAACTTTGATTTATTTATCAAAATATCATCGCATCTTTCAATTCGCATGACCAGACCAAATTAAAGTTCAAAAAGTATAAAGAGACAAGCTAGTCTTAAATTAAAGTGCATATAACGGCACAAAAGTGAACACGATTTGCAGTTTTCACGTTATGAGTTAATGAGTTAAGAGTTATATTTATTTGACCTTTAGCTACTCGCTCTATATATATACATAGACACACATATATATGCGTTTGTGTGTGTTATAATCTCTCCGCATCATAGGAAAGAAAGGGAAAATTAAGGGGATTAGTTTTGGTCATCCCTGACCCACCTGGTAGGCTGGTCTCGATCCAAAATGCGTCATCCAAGCCGGTGTGCCCAGGGCCGGTCCTAATATTTTATGGGCCCGGGGCAATTGAAAAGAGAAGGCCCTTAAAAGGTTATATAAATATATTGCAAAAGCTTAACTTTATATATGCAAATTTCAACATAGAAATTTGAAAGTAATGTAAGTCTTTCATCAAAGTCTTAATATATAAACTAAACGAATAAAAATTATATTAAAAAATAAAAAATAAAACCAGAGAATTACTTGTGAAATTGAAATTTCAAATTTGGAAGATATTTTTGAGAAAATTAGGAGTGTTGATTGCTGAGCAAAACGAATTAAAGTCCAAAGATGAAACCTTGAAATTATGCCTGCCTAACGGGAAATGATGTCAGACCGGGGCCATTTGAGGCCCTTCCTGATAGAATTTTTTCATGAAAACTTTTAAACATATTCATCATGAAATCTATAATATCTCCACAAAGTTTCAGATTAAAATTCAACTTGAAAGTCAGTTAAATAAATTATTGAAAGATAGTGCGCATTATTTATATACACAAAGCGCAGTGTGTTTCAATATTTTATTTAACCGATTTCCTGGTTGATTTTTAAACTAAAATTTTGTGAATGTAATTTACACTTGATGAAAAATACTCTAAAAAAGTTTCATAAAAAAATTCCTCCATAAAGGGCCCCAAATGACCTTGGTCTGATATGAATTGTCCTCTTTATATTTATCCATTTATATATAATTATGGGCCCTTGTAAATGTTGGGCCCGGGGCACAAGCCCGGCCTGCCCTTGTCCAGGGTCGGCCCTGGGTGTGCCACTCTTATAGTCACTATTACTTCTACACTGCTTTATGGCATCGCAGCTTTTTGTGGGTATTTTGCATTAGATGAGGTATTTAAATATACTCGTAGAGTACTTAGCTATTCAGCTTACCTTAGCTCGGATATGGTGTTT